ATGCGTGCAGAAGGTCGTTCGGAATGTCTCGAGGTGGGACTGTTGGAGGTGCACAGGTCAGCAAAGCGGTCCTCCGAACCACACCACCGACGATAAATTTAGCAAATGTTTGGTGGCAGAATAACCACTCTTTTGAGCAAATGACTTTTAGGAGAGCGTCAAGAAAGACTCGACGTGATTCCACCACTTCCGGATCCAGTCTATCTACAAGGAATCGCGTTAAAAAGCAGGATGGCGAGAAGTTACTTACTGAAAAATGTTTCTTTTGGCAGACTGGGCAGGGGTGTTCCATATTCAAGTTCCTTAACAACCCTCTGAAGGGACTTGTGTAGGCGCTTGAAGTCGCTGTACCGTTTAAAGAGCTAGATAGGAGCAGTTGCGTGTGTCTATTTTTCTCATAACTACCATCCGTTCCTCAACTAAGGCTTGCGACGACTTTTCGATAATTACGCGGTAGACTGTGAAGGATCCGCGGGGATGTCGGAACGCCCTATCTACCGTGGCATTCACCCGGTACTCTAACATTTCCGATATTTTCCACTGAAAAAGAGGAGACAAAAGCAAAACTTCTGTTAGTTTGAACTTGAAGAAGACAGAAAATATCTAAATTTATAAAGCTAACACAGAATCAGAACGTTCGAAATTCGATTAGCTAATTTACTACTTAGTGTACTTACAGGAGAAAAAACACGTTCGCAAAAATCGGACGACTGGCGACAAGTGGCAGCAACATTTTTGAATGCGAGTGAGCGGGACTAAGAAAATATACGGTCAACTAAGCGCAGATCAAGTCTACGGCTCCAACTTTTACTTGCTTCTTGAGTCATGCATGCAACCCATTTGGCAACCGCGTTAAGTCAACAGAATCAGCTCTTTACAAGCTCGATGCGTTGCCAGTATATCTTTCGTCACGACCACCTAGCCAGTCAAGCTATTGGAATTCTATGAGCGTTTGTAAATAATTAGGTTACGTTCTCTGTTGGTTCTCTGCGTTCTCAATTCTAGAAGTAGTTCTAGAATTGCATGTGCGTAGTACGACTGAAAAAGACTCCCCTTCGGGAATGCTTCAGTCAAAAACGCCTGTAAAGTGGAAGGTTTACCAGCTGTTCATTGTCTAGGACAATTTAGGGGGCAACGCTCTTCTCTGTTGAGTGACATTTAGACAACTCTCACGCCTTATTGGTGGAGATATTCTCCGATGGTTGCAAAATTTAACATGTAAAAAGCTCCTGGAATAGGTTTAAGTCTGCAATGATTCTCTCCCTGGGGGTGTTAGCGGGCGACTCTGAAAGGTCCTGGATTATGATGTATCCGCCCTTATTAGAAACGCCGCCGTTTCTTTCGGATTTTTCGTCATTGGCCGAGAGTTTAGCTTTGTCAGTGGGGGCTGGGAAACGGGGAAAGCTGCTGAGGCGTCCGGGGGTGATTATGTTCTGAGCGTGCTCTACAGTGTCTGCGCTTAGAGGGCTCTGTGGGATATTCCAACGTGCCGAAGTTGAGGCTCTTTAAACTCGGGCTTCAATTTTAATATGTACTGAAAATTACTTGTCGAGCAGGTCTGAATTACTCGCATTCGGACGCAGGCAAACTTTTTGTGTCTGCAAATGTGCATACGTCGACATGTTTACGCTTTTACGCAAACAATAAAAGATTATTAAAGGGTTATGACTTGAAGTACAGTTCATTTCGGTTTATTTGACGGAACTTTAGGCGTACAACTTTAAACCACCTACTTGTTTCATGTAGCGGAAGTATGTCAAAAACGGAATAGGGCACCTTAAAAACATAAAGGAAATATCAAAGCAGTATATTTCTTTTCATTGATATTAGACGCCCATTACAATTTTAAAATATTTTATAGGAAACACAAAATATTCTTTCCTTTACTCATTTTGCAGTAAATTGCTTCGGTGCATTTTATCTTTGAAGATGTACTATCTTTCAGTTTTAAAGAATTTGCTCCTGTGGAGCAGGTTATGTTGGTCGCACGAGTCGGCGCCTATCCAATTATTATATTATTATGACTGAAAATGCCAATGCCTACAACAATAACTCCTACCACTGCATTTTTATAACTATTACATTCCACTATTTCGGCACGTGGATAAAGACTGTTGTATGATCCTGATGATGAGTGAAGAAAGGTAGGTCCTGTTAACTTCTGAGGGAAAAGACAGCAGGGCTGGCATTTTTTTGTAATAAGAATAGAGCAACTAAACGAGCAGGAATTTTTTTCCAAATACCGCTGACTAACTCAGGTACTACAAATAAATTCGCAGGAGGAGAGATGCAAAGTAACGTAACCAAGGACAAAAATGGGTGGATATTGAAATAGGAAGATCAAAGGATAATGGCGATTGAAGATAAATTATTTGCAGCAAAAGCAAAACACATGAGAACGAAGCCAGGCCGACATATACATATAGCGTCAACTGTCTAATGTGTGCGTAACAATAGCCGTTACCAACAATCCACCACACATGGAAAGCTTCGCAGATCGTTTCGTTTCCGATCCAAGATTTGGTTTTGGTCCTCAAATCTATTGGCCGAATTGTCATTACTCACGCTTATTAAATTCTACGGCTCCCTTGCGAGATCACTGGAAGTGGAACATCACAGATGTGAAGGATATGTTGTTGCTTAACATTCCAAATTGGCATTAAAACAGATAAAATCGATTACTTCAGAAGCCTATTAAAGTTAACCAAGTTACCATCTGGCATCCAGTTCAAATTTGGTCCGTATTATAATAAGGATCTCCTGTACCTAATTGCATGTACAATTATAGTACTATCAGCGGGAGAGCCAGTGATAGGCAGGGCTAATATTTGATAAATCTGTGTCGGGTTATGTCACTCGCTGCAGTTTTCAGTGGTTTTAAAGCCCCATGTACTACCTAAGCCCGTAGTCCAATTACCAGACCGTGGGCTGCCAGAATAGCTGACCAGCACATTCGACCATGCGTCTCCGTCGCGTTCCCACCCGCCCTTACGGCGGCCAAGGTCTGCTACAC